AACACTTTTAATTTTTTTAAACTGGATTAGGCCTGTGGCCATGGTCCAAAGGTGAGCCTAGAAATGAATCAGCTACTGGACTTGCGATCAGGCTACAAAACACGTAGTAAGCATGCTCCGGGCAATAGATTGTTTTTACAACATTTTTAATGACTTGAGTCCTAGTTGTAATTTTGAAACAATGCCAGGATTACACTTGTTTGAAATGATAGCATGGTGAAATGGCATCCAGACTCAGTGGCTGTTCGGCAGCACTCATGCAGCCCCAGACCATGACACTCCCACCACCATGCTTGACTGTAGGCAAGACACACTTGTCTTTGTACTCCTCACCTGGTTGCCACCACACACGCTTCACACCATCTGAAGCAAATAAGGTTATCTTGGTCTCATCAGGTCTCATCTCATGAGACTAACACTAACCCCTAGGAATTATGTGTGTTAATGGATCACTGCTTTTCCCAGAAGACCGCACTGAGATACCAGCCTATTTACAGGCAGCCTGTGCAATAGGAGCTTCATTTTTATTGAGATATTTTCTAAGGCTGTTCCACACCTTCAGGTCCTGACAGGGAACCTACTTCTTATTCGTTACTCCCTTTAGACTGCATTCTCCATACGTGCCACTTGGGAGGGGATTCCTTAACACAAACATGTCTAGACAGGGCAAAGTAACACATTGTGTATTCCATGCACTCCCCTACCACCCCATCAGCCTCCTGGAGCCCCTCACATAGTTACTGCTTAGGTAAGGATCAACAAATCTGCCAGAGTTTACGTCAGATAGGGTTCAGGGAATCTTGTTTGAAATTCAGCAAACCCGAACTTAGCAGTGAATCCCATTGATTGAATCCTGTTTAAAATGATGGCCATTTTTTGGACTAATAAGTACACTTTTGTAAAAAAACAAAAACATGGGAAACTGAGCAACGCCAGTGAAGGGGAATGTAACAATGCAAAAAAATGTTTCTAACAAAAATGTAAAGCAAGGAGGAGGTTATTTTTCATGTAGCTTTAAGGGTAACATTAAAAACTCACAGAGGCTTCAATTTTAGATTTGGGTAATACTTACATTTGATGGACAGCCTCAGTGACAGCGTACTCTCACAGTGCATATTTAGCTGAGGACTTGATTTGTTTATTTTACAATTAGCTTGGCATACATACAGCAGCAGCACCCCAATCTGATTTATTGTAGAAAAAACATGTATTTTTTCATGGTGTTTAATCAGTGAAACCTGCTTTTTCATCAAGCGCTACTAAGCATGCTTTGATTAATGGTTAGAATTGTCTGTTAGTTTGCCGAGGCTGTCCCTGTTCTCACTGACACAAAACTATCCTGCCGCAGGTTGATTCCTATAAAATACTCAATAAAAATTAAGAGGACGCAAATGACACAGCAGTGTAAGATTTGCCAGAAGCAGGCCAATGTGCAAGACTAGGCCCAAATGTACTAACGACACAGAGTTCAGGCAGGCGTTTTACTAAAAGAGTTAGGATATTGCAGATGGTATAGCAGTGTAAAACTGACCAGCAAAAGAGCACTGTTAATAGACAGTCTAAAAATAAATCATCTTCATGTGGCTGCCAGAAAAATCACCATCTTCGCCTAGGAGGCAATTAGCATACACTATGAAAAACCTGTACAACATCGGGGAACTTAACCTGAAAAAAGATTAGCACAGGAAGCAATAGCTTCTTTGCTATCTGCAGGTTTTGTTTTTTTTTTCAGTTTTCTGACATCTGTTGCTGGCAGAATAAAAAAAAAACCCAGCATAGAAATGCATAGCTAGAGAGCTATGGGCTATTTCAATTTGCAATATCCAATAGCAAGCTGGCTATTGCACCCGCCCTCTGCTGCTGTCAATCACTAGAAGAGGACCTGATGGAGAACTTCAGCCAAAATAGCCGATAGGAATCTAGCTATGCACATTCCTATGCTGGTTTTTTTTTTTCTGACTGACGGCGGCCGGCGGCTCCGATGTCAGAAAAAAATCGAGCAGAGTAAATCTTTCCGGGAGAAAGTGTCTCTCTCCCGGGCGGCCAGGAGCTGCTATCTAATAGCGGGAGACTCCTGGAGCATCTGGGAGAGTTGGGATGCCTGCAACATACTGTATAAATACAAAAGTATAAAAGACTTTATTAATTCGTAGAACCAATAAAAGCAAGCAGAGCCCACAATACATATAGTACAAAATGACTTTATCCTCAATGTGCACACATGCGACAAAACCCCTGCACTCTGTATTCCTTACTCCTGACCCCTGCACTCTGTATTACTTACTCCTGACCCCTGCACTCTGTATTACTTACTCCTGACCCCTGCACTCTGTATTACTTACTCCTGACCCCTGCACTCTGTATTACTTACTCCTGACCTCGCACTCTGTATTACTTACTCCTGACCCCTGCTTTCTACATTACTTACTTTTGACCCCTTCACTCTGCATTACTTACTGTTGACCCCTGCACTATACATTACTTACTCCTGACCCTTGCACTCTGCATTACTTACTCCTGATCCCTGCACTCTGTATTACTTACTCCTGACCCCTGCACTCTGCATTACTTACTCCTGGCCCTGCACTATACATTACTTACTCCTGACCCTTGCACTCTACATTACTTACTCCTGATCCCTGCACTATACATTACTTACTTTTGACCCCTGCACTCTTCTGTAAAAAAAAAAAGCACAGTGCACCCTGGAGAACTTTGATCTATTCCATGTTGTTCAGGTAGATATTCACCTCTGCATGTTTGCAATCTAATCAATATCCACTACATATTCTGCATGGGCCTAATGTTGGTAGCCCTGCATTCCCAAGTGCTGACGCACATTCCCTTGTGTCCTTCCTCCCTTCAGAGAGTGACTTCCATAAATGCCTGTACACAGCAATTGTAATGTGGGGGCTACAGATCAAATGCATTTCTAACGCTGCTCTAGGGGAATATACAATTACTCAGCCAACACCGAGGACAATCTGATCTACATCCCATCATTGTATATTCCCTGCAAGCATCTCCAGATGCTGACAACCCAGATTACAAAGTGATACATGGAAAACCTAGACCTTGAGTGTCAGCCCTCCCCTCTTCTCTGGGTGTCCATACACTTCAATTATAATGCTGGAACTACATGCTCAGGTCATTCATAACATCACTAGCCTGAGGCAATATGTAATGGTAAGGCTCACCATACCCTTTACAATATCTCAATACAATCTCTATACAATTAATTATAGATCTTCCAAAACTATAAATCACCATCCACGACGCTACAATCTTTGTACAATCAATTTTAGATTTACCAAAATGATGTAATATGAGAACCTACCAAATCTATCCAACGAAACTGTATGCAATCAGACAGGCCCTTGGCACTACATAGTTGGTAGATCTAAAAAAGATTGTACAGGCACATAGTAATGTGTGTGGTGAGTTTATGAAATATGAGGACCTACCTAAATTAATTAATCAATGTCAGGCATAGCCTTGCACTACATAATTGTTGGCAAACCTAAAGAAGATTGTACAATCATATTGTAATGTCTGTGGTGAGCATAAAAGTTAAAGAAGAACTCAAGGGAAAATTATAATTACCCTTGCAGTGGGACTACCCACACACTGCAAGGGTTAAGTGCTGGTTTTGGTCTAGGGAGGAAAAAAACTAAGTTATAGTCACCTGATCCTCAGAGTCAGCTTGCTCCTGGACTGTTCCCTGGAGCATCTCTCCCCCTCTGCTGCGGCTGTCTAAGGTCCCATAAATCATCATGTCCAATACACTTTGTATAGGATGTTAGGATGCTGAGGGACATACCAGCGCTGGAGTGTAGGAGACAGGTCAGAGGGAACGCTGTGACAGCTGGCTGTATGTGAGGATCGGGTGAGTATAACTTTACATTGGAGGCGATACTGGTGGCTGGGTGGCCGCCAAATCGCTTCCAGGGGCCGGTGTAGTGCGCCCGACACCCCTGCCTTGCTTTCTGGGCTCTGTTGCTACTCCTGGGGACCTGGGACCAGCATCACAGGTAACGGCGGGAAGCGGGAATAGGGACACTAGGGGTCTAATTGACCC